ACACAATTCATCATTTATCTAGTATCTTCTTCTATCTGTAGCAGACCATTTGGGTGAAGAGAATTACACAAGTGCTGTGCAAAAGGTGTTGTTATACAATTATATACATAATTTCACTCATGTAGCCATAAATAGGGCTATTTTTGCCCATTTAGTGTCATTCTTGTGCACATCCATAATTGAAAACGCATTTAGACTTAATAACAAAGGTCTTCAAGAAGAAACTCAAATGTTTCAAACCTGAAGACAGAATCTTTTTGCTTCTGTGTATGTGTGTGTGTGTGTGTGTGTGTGTGTGAGTATTCAGATGTTTCACATGGGCAAGTCTGCTGTAAACCAATAGGTGCACAAGTGTAAACAAGGAGCCTACCTTTACTTGAAGTCAAAGAATGATGCAGAAACAAAGTTTAACTGCCGACTCTTCTTCCCACCTCTGAATGGAAATAAATGGATGGAAAAAGGAAGAAAGCGCATATGCAACAGCTCCGGGCGACTTCTTGGCCAATGTAAGGGGTTCCTTTGTAAAGTGGGATGGACCAACGCGTCTCAGGAAAACCACTAAACTAAGTGAGAATGATGCAACATTTCCTCAAGGTTGTTTCATTGCAAAGAGGAGAACTTTTTTTTCCACAGACTTCAAACACAGGGGAACACACACACACACACACACACATACACACACACACTACTCTCACTCTTCTGTGAGAAAGGCACAAGTATAACATGTAAGTATACTATTGGTATTCTGTTGGCGCAGAAATTAAACTTTATTTAATGTGGAAATAAAATGACCATGAGCTCATTTCATTAATTTACAGAGCCAATACAATTCACAATAAAGCTCTTGCCTAACGCATGCTTAACACAGTGTTTTATTGCAATATCTTGCCCAACAAACTAGAGAAAACAGCATGACCAGCGGAGGAGCGGAGATGCACTACAGTAACAAAAAGCAGTCCAACATTACGCACAGTGCTTATTGTAAGTTTCCCAAAGTGTGGGGCTGCTTCTGGCTCTCCACGCTGCCTTTAAGGCTCGTGCTGCATCGGTAGTAACTTGAGATCCGGCTGGTGCGGACGCAGTGGTGTGTGCGCGTGTCACAGCGCCTGCAGCTGCACCGGCGCGCCGCGGGATAATACAGCTGTGGGTCGACACCGTGAGGGCAGCCCGGCAGGCGGGCGGATCGGTACACCAATGAGAGAGGCACGCAGCTACGCTGGATCAGGAAAGTCCTCCCGAACCGTCCCCTCAGATTGGTGTCCTGAGAGAGGGGAGACAGGACTGTTAGAGGCGGGGTTTGGTGATCCTCATACACCCGGGTTAACACAATGATGGTTGTGGTACCTCCTTGTCACTAAAGTATGATTTTCATTTTTGATGCACAACAAGGAGCTTACAACTGAGCAAAATCAGTTTAGAAGATTTAAGATGTTGATTTTTATCATTGCGGTAGGATGTGTTTGCCATAACGCATCTGTCTCTGCCTCTGTGCCACACAAGCAACCGGGTGCTGCACCTTAAAATGTGCCACTTAACATCGCCTAATCATACCCTTTGCCTTAATGCCTCATTCTTTGCATCATAAAACAAAATGAAGAGGTTCCAAGTGTGTGTGTGAGTGGTCACCTGTGTGTAACAGTAGCCGCTGCAGATAGTAGTGTTCACAGCCACACACTGGGCACAGTCGTGCCTCTCAATCCCTAAGGTGTGATTCTTCAGCATGCAGGCACACACCGTCCAACCGATCAACGTACACAGCAGCAGGCATTTCAGCGCTAACGAGGGCATGTTGAATGGCGTGTTTCAATTATCCAATAAATGTGTGTTCTCTTTTTCAAACGAGATGCTCCTTCTTTCCTCTCGTTGTGTCCACTCAAGTTCCCCAAACTCTCCCCTGTTCCTCTCCTCTGTGAATATCTGAGAAGATCAGCGGTGACCATCCTCTTTTATGGAAACCTTAATCCACCTACAGTCTCCAGAAATCACATGTCAGCTGTCTACAATGTTTAGATTGGTCTCAAAACACACATGCAGGGGGTATGTGGGTCTGTTTGCGCGTCCGTGCATGAATGTACAATTTGCGGTAAAATCCACAAACAACAACAAGTTATACAACTCCGGCCCTTAAACGTGTGTGTGCTGCTGATCCATGTGGGTGACTCCACACGTTTTAGGTCATGAGGAGTCCGCCTACTATATTTTGATTTCAGTCGCAAGGTGCAGCAAAAAGTCTGCTTTTTAAAAGTGACAACTTGAAACCAAATGAGTGTGGTGTTCAGAGCACTGTAAGACATTTATTAAGTAGCCCTATTTGTGCCATTTAATGATACGTTTATCTATGATCTATGATTCATACTCAAATAAATAATATAAACATCAAACACATAATAAAATTATTAAAGATCTATATTTAGACAAACTAACAATAATAAATGATGATTATTAATTAATGAACTTTTCTTTTTCTTTCTTCCCTCTGGGACAGGAGGTATGACCCAAACTATAGAAGCAATTTAAGAAATGGAGCAAAAGTTATGTTAATTAATTCAGCTAAATTACTATTAAATAATTCTGAATTAAATGTGATTTTTTAAGAGTGATCTCATTTGGCTGATGCTGGGTCAGTACTCATGTTTCTGTACTACCTGAGTGAAAAGGTTCTGTCCTCCTTTTCTAAGCCATTAATGCTCCCATTATTCCCATCTGTCCCTAATTTGAGTGGCCATGTGCCTTCAGATTTTTCCCTCACAAAGTGGTCAATAAACATGTTTACCAAACACAACTGAGGATGAAGTGCTCATAATTCTCCTGAGAGCCTCCTGGTAAACCGGAAACTTGAGAAATGTAAGTTTGAAAATTGTAAAACGAAATTGTTATAATAATTATAAAAACATTGATTGATTATTAGTAATTGTTATTACAATACATTTAATCTGTTACATTTAATCTTTGTCTACATCTACATGTACTGTTTGTAAACACGGGGAAATTAAATCATTGGAGAACCTCAAATGTCCTTTTCAGCCAGAAGTCAAATCCTTCAATCATGTATAAAAAGATATATGCCTTTTATATGGTTAACAAATATACAGATGGGGTCTCTTTAAACGTATGTAATTTCTGCTGTTAGTGGTCTCTCACATCAAAACAATAACAAAACATGTAGCTGGATGATGTCGTGAAGTAGCATGGGATCATGGAAGTTGTTGTCTTTGTTGTTAAAGGACCAGTGTGCAGGATTTAGTGGCATCTAGTGGTGAAGTCACATATTACAACTAACTGAACACAGCTTGCATCTGTATTTGACAAAATGGCGGACTCCACCGATAGCGACTAGCGGCATCTGTAGATAAAAACGTCTCATTCTAAGGTAACAAAAACACAGTGATTGCTTTATTCAGGTGACTAATTAAAAACATACCACCATTCTATTCCACCTCTGCCAATAGATACACCTAAATGTTACACACAGGACCTTTAAGCAACAACCATTGCCAATAAAAATCTGATGTGAAATCATGTTCATGACTGAGATAATGTGTTAAAGTTTTATTCATGTTACGTTCGTCAACTTCCTTCCTCACTCTCTGACATTTTTCCTGAGAAGTAGCAACTATGGGTCTATCTGCAGACTACACGGTACACGGCGATAACTCCCTGGATTAAAGTACTTATTATAACCCAAATCGTGATCTAAACCTAACTGAGTAGTTGTGGTACGTAAACCTAACCAAATTAGCTTGACATCACCCGCCAGCTCCACGCTCTCCTCCAAATATGGTCACTTCTAGCTCCAAAGAACTAAGATTTCAACAGCCATGATGCCAAACTTGAGCCTTTGAAGCGGTTGTCCGCAAACCAATGGGTGACATCACAGTGGGTTTACACTGACGCCACTCACTCAAATGACATGCACCGTTACCATGAATAAAATTGCTGATTTCTTATGGTTTGAACATAATTTGGCATAATAAGTACACAACTCAACAAAATATACGACATAGGTCTTGTTGTTGTTGACATTTTAATGTGGAAATTTAAATCTATACTGAAATAAACAAGACAGTCTACTTATAACATCATTAGTTTCAGGTTTTGCCACTATTTTCTGCCTTTGACCTGGCCCCTGTTTCTGTGTTTTTGCTTCACATTGATCATGTTGGGTCACAGTTATGTAACAAATCCATCAGATAATTACTACAAAGTGGGTCGTGGACAGTTCACTAACTATCTGCCCTGACACAGATCTAGATTTTTTTAGATGTGTGGACTGTTATTTGTGTGAGGTTCATGAGGCAAGACAGCTGTTTGAAATATGGATCTACAGTGGCCCTGCAGAGGAGTTGTACACATTAGGAATTATATTCCTGAATTTAATGAAAAAAATATATTAATATTGTTTGACATTATATGGTGATGATGTTGTGTCCCAGAAACAATGAACAATCACACCATTTGTCCTCAAAGAGCAATTGGTTGTACACAGGTTGAAACATTTTAAAATAAATCTTCAAAATCACAATAAATCATGAAATATTTAAATGTTTGATCCAGGGTGGGTATATGTACTCATCTTACCGTTCCCTTGAAGAGCTTGGCAGGGGGTATGAAAGAGTTTTTATATCTGTAGAATATAAATGATGGCAGGTGTGTTGTACTGTGGTCAACTTCAATCCCTAGATTAGAAAGGTCCGGAATTAATTCAGGAATAAGCCATCTGAATTGACACGTTTCAACTGTTGGACTCTTTCCACATCTTCCTTACCATCATGAAATCTGCAGGTAATGTCTAAGATTTTAATTCTGCGGCTCTTTGTTTCAGCTCATACTGTACGGGTAACTCTACACTCTCCGATAAGGCCCTGGAACTGGGTCAGAAAGAAACATGAACCCCTTTTGTTTTATAGAGGCCATGCCCTGGTAATGACCTCAGGTCGACAGGTCACAACACCATCAAGTCATGTTTCAGATAGTACTTAAAAAATCTTTATTTATTTATTTAATTTGGCTTAATTATGATGACATCCAACAGTAAAACAATACAATTTAAAAAATGAAAATATATATATTTTTCTTGGGGCCATTCTGTATGACACTAAACTAATAAAAAAGAAATGGTAACGCTTTATAATAAGAATACAAATCATATACTTATAATATGTGACAAATTAGATGGGTTTCTGTATTCTAATTTTTTTTCAGGACCTTGCATTTTCTCGGCTTCTTTCAATTAAAAGAAGAAGTATCTTCAATCATATATTTTGTGTGTTTGTGTTGTTGAAACACGTCTGATCATTGTCCTCTAAACTGTCCTTTATGTTGTAAATCTGTCAAAAATGTCATTAGGTTTATTCTCTTAAAAAAAATATGAAGCTAATTTTTCTTCAGAGAGGCTGAGTAAAAGCAAATAACATGTTTACATTTATGTAACGGGAGTCCTGCTCCTTTAGTCACATATCCATTAATGTGTGTATTAACATTCCTTAACTAATGTTAACACCATAGTGACTTGATCATTTGGTAATAATGAGAAACAGGAATTGATGACATCATCATGAGTCAAGCACTACTTAAGTATACTTCCACCTTTGGTAAACACAAACAATCTACCAGAATTTTGGACAGAAAATTAGTTGGCCTCTAAATGGTTAAATAGTTAATGGTTTCCTGTGTGTTTTTATTATAGAGGTGTAGTAGTTATACTTTCTGTGTCGTTAAAACAATTTTGCACCCCTTTTTTTTACCATAAATGCATCACGACTTTCTGCACAATTGTGCATGCAGGAGTTGGCATGTGATGATTGGGGTGCTTTTATAAAGTTTCTAAATGACAATGTGGTTGTTGTTATTGTTTATTAACCAGGTGTGAACAGTGGCATTATTCTGACCTTTATGCTAGTGTTGACATGTGGACTATGTTGACTGTGAAGTCCTTCTGCTTGCTGGGCACCATCATCACCCAGGACCTCAAGCTGGAGCTGACCAAAAAAAAAAAGCATGGCAGCGGATGTACTTCCTGTGGCAGCTGAAGACATTCAACCATCTGGTATATGGCGCTGCTACTGCCAAGGACAAGGGCAGACTGCAGTGTGTCATTCCCTCCACCGAGAAGGTGATCGGCTGTAATGTGCCAACCCTCCGAGACCTGTTCTCCTCCAGATTGCTGCTGTCCCCATCACGCTCCCAGACACAAACTTGTTGAGACACTTCCCTCTGGCAGGAGACGCCACAGAAACTGTTTCTTCCCACCTGTGGCCCCATTGAACCATAATTATTCTTTATTTATCACTGTGAGCTGGACAGTATTTTTAACATTCCTGTGCAAACATTACACCCCTTTTATTTTATGGTCATATTTTACAAATTTCTATTTTCTACATTGTCTCAAATCCTTTTCCAATAACACAAAAACGGGAAAGGAGACTGCAAGACAACATCCGTAGTACCAAAATAAATATACGTATTTTTTCATATTTTTTTCTATTTAAATGCTTCTCTTGCAGTACTTGCTTCCATCTGTATATTTTTCTAGCACTATGTTTATTATTGTTGTGCACCAATACACCAAAGCAAAATTCTTGTAATGTATGTCAGGCAATAAAAACACTATAAAACACTATTAATATATAAGTAAATTAAAATGTGGGGGGAGAGTAGTCTGAATTGGGTTCTGGAGCTGTGCCCCACCTCATACATCGCACTCATTCGCCAGCCGCGAGCGATTCCAAGTCAGTGAGAGTCACATCCGCCGGTGGTGCTGAGAAACTGCGCCACCAAGCTTCTCCTGC